TACAGGCCAAACTATGCAATTTCAGTATAAATCAAGAGTGCTTGGTTCAGCTCCAAGTGCTGTGTGAGAAGAACAGAACTAAAATTCACCTCAGGGCATCCAAAGACAACAAATGAAATTTTGAGAGAAAATGTAGGGATTGTAGTTACAGCAAAATGTGTATTGTGCGTTTGTATTGGGCAAGGTTTTGTTCTTCCCTGAGCAGCATGACCTATTTCCCAGCATCATGTGACTTTTGTATTGGAAGACTCTTCTGTAAAGAAGTAGAATTAATTTTCCAGTGGAAAAGAAACAATACTGATTTTCTGCCCAATGAAACAGTTTAACATTACATTAATTTTTATTTAACTTTCTAAACTTCATCACCCTTTAAAAAGATGCAGACAAGTAAAGCACATGCACGTACTTATCTGTTGCTGGCAATATATATTTTCATTAAGATTTCATTCAAAGAAATGTACAGGGCATCAGGAAAATCCAAATTAAACTACACTAGGATTTAATATGATTTCAAGTCCATTTCCAACCACAACAGCAGCTAAGCACTTAGGCCTTTAAAGTGCACAAAAGGAATTTAAGCTGCCTTCCACACCTCCCACCTCACAGAGGGGCCTCAGTTTCCTGTTTAAATTCTGCTTAGTTGCCTGAAGTTTTCTAAACTCTGCACATGGAGATGAAAATCTAGGGATGTCACCTCTGGCTAAAATCATCTGGCATTCCTAAAACAGGAATTCCTGTGTTCCAGTCTCAAAAGCAACTCTATCAGACTTTCTGAGTTCATTCCCAATTGAGCTAACACCAAATCTGAGAGGACAGAGGGAGAGAAAAAAACAAGCATATATATAACAGAGACATCTGGAAGGGAGCTGTTTATACAAACTCAACAGCTTTTGAAAAGCTGGGCCCTTGAAGTGTGCACAGGCACTCCAAATCAGCAGTCCCTTCTGAAATGCCCTCTATGTCTGTATTTTTAGCTTGCAGCTTCTTTATTTCTAGTCATTTCTTCTACCATACTGGAAGCCTTTGTAATTATGGTGAGAGGATTTTTTTAATGCTTGTGTAACTCAAAAAATGGCCAAATGAAACCTAACTACACTTTCCCAAAAAGGGGGAAAAAAAAAGTTTTATGCATTAAGAATTTCAGCTCTAACAGCAGTGAATTTTCAGGTTACTGGTAGAGAGCTGTGCTCATCTACAGGTTTCTGTTCATTTGTGATTAACAACAGCACAACCCTGCCAGGAACACAGCAAAACATGAGATTTTGCAGCAATGAGCAGAAAGCAATGCTGAACATTTGGTAAGCTATTCAGCTAGGTTGGATTTAAAGCATTAACCACTTCACGAGATGAATTCTGGCTTTCTCCATCTTTTGTATCACGTGCACATTAAGGCATTGTGTCAGCATGTGCTTTTTCTTGAGACCTCCAATTAATTAGAGCTTAAATTTAGGACAGGATGTGTCAACACTGGAAAATGAGGGTTGTTGCTGTTGTGCTTCACACACGTGGCCAAAGCTGTGCATCTGTGCTTGGGGGCCACCCCTGAATTTTTAAGAACAGATGAGCCCCAGTCTAATGTCAGCTTTAAGTCTCCCTGAACCCTCAGCAGCTCGTGCAGGACCAGCTGTACCAATATTCAAATGGTTGCCTGGATTCTGCTCACCCCAGACAGGAATTGGGGTTTCTCTGCACCTGACTGGAAATGAGGAGCTGCCTTTGCACCAGGGTGTTGTACATGCCTTGGACACAGCTCAGGGCTGAAAAGTAATATGAAAACCTTCTCTAGTGATTTCTAACCAATGCTTTGAGAAGCCAGAATGAGATCTGGGGAGGGAGGGAGGGGCTCTAGCAGGTGAAATGGGTACTAAGAGAGTCTCTACAGGTGGAAAGAAAATTTGCTTCTGATGATATTCACCCTTTCAGAAAAACTGACAGGTGAAGATCAGTGCAGGAGACTTTCTTTCCAGAATACCCTGCAGACTTGTTGGGGTTCTCTGAAATAGCTGCTTCACTCATGCTCTTAACACATCAAAGCAGTTAAAATCTACTTAAGGGGATTTTGCTCAATTGAAAAGGTTGGTAGTGCTTTATTTGAAATCTTGCTTCATGCACACAGCAAACTCCTCTGTGGAAGAGTTTATTTTAATCCTGGAGATGATAATGGATGAATATCAGGACAGCTGCTCTCAGTTTCACCCCAGAGGTAATGGCCAGAACTTCAGAGAGCTCTCTTAAGTGCTGAGAAAGAGAAGATGCCATTTGCCAGGAGATGTCAGAACACAGCAGAGCAGGAATATGAGCAACTCATTCTTGGCAAACTTTGTAAGTGCTACCTTTGGGGATTTTTAAAAAGCTGTTAAAGCTGTTTCTGTGTTCACCATTTTTATTTCTAAACTTTAAAAGTACTTCCTTTTTTTTTTCTTTTTCTGTGTTATGCTAAAATATCCTGTGAATGCATCATCCTTTCAGGTTTTAGTTTTGATCACTTGATTTTTATGTGCACAACACTCTCACTGGACACAATAAGCACTGCAAAGTAGGACTGCCAGTATGTAATAATATTGGGAATTTTTACCTTGCTGTAGTTAAAATTTGGGTAGACCAGAAACAGGTCAGGCAAGCTTAATTGTCATCGTGTTGGTGATACAATCTGAGTATTTTTCTGACTGAAGAATTACATCATGCTCCCTTTCTGCACTCAAACTGCCATGAGCTACTTCTATGAGATCATTTCTCTGAATGAGCTACTTCTTATCTGGAAAAGGATTTGTGAGGTACACTAAAATGCACATAGAGAAAAAAAAAAAAGAAGCTCTACTCTATGAGCATGCTTCTCCTAACACAAAAGTTGCAGAAAAAAATGGAGCTGAAAAAATCTGTGTGGAGAATGAAGACAAAGAGGAGGCTCAGCACTTCAGAGAGGGATTGTCTCCATTCCATGGGAGGACTGAGATACACCTGTGATGTTCTCCAGGAAGCCAGGGAGGCTGCTGGAACTCATGGCAGCCTCCTGCAAAGCCACATCAGCACAGGAGATCAGCCAAAGGGGCTGTGGTTGGCCAGGGCAGCGTGGGCTGAGCAGCGTTACATGAGAACGAGCAGAGCTGCCAGGAGGAGGCTGCGCTGCAGGACACTGAGGGAAGGAAAAGCAACACCCACCTGACCCCAGGGCAGAAATCTCTGCCTCCTACCGCAGCTGGGAACCAGCGGAGAGTTCTGGGATGGCAGTAAGGGCACGGCAATAAAGGGATTTAATGGCACTTCAGGTAAACACAGAACATAAATATTTAGATATTCCTCGTGTGTACTTTTCTAAAGTAGGTCGAGTTATGATGTTCTGAATGTCATATATCACAGGCAAAAGAGGGAGAACATTTGGAACCTAAACCACAGTTAAGTTCACTCTTTTTTAAAATATAGGTCTGCCATAGCTGCTGAAGGTAACATTTGCTTTATTGTGAAGATTCAGAGAGCACTATGACACTCTTTTCATGTTACTGCCTAATGTTAATCTCCTCAAAATTTGTATTCTGGAAGTATCTTGCTTCAAGATCTCATGTGTTTATTACCTCTGAAAAAGCTTTAAGAGCTGCAAGCACTCACCATCTTGGAGATTGTACCTAATTATTTAGTGGAATCAGAAGGGTAACACTAGAAACTGGTATTTAAATATGTTGTTCTGATTCAACTGTCTTTTTTCTTTTCTTCTCTTTTGTTCTTTTCTTATTTTCTTTTTCCCCCCTTTTTTTAAGGAAAGGTTTTGGCTTCCAAGCTTTGACACTTGCCATGCTGCATCCAAGAAAGCAGAGGAAGACCTCCCTATCTCAACTCATTATTGCCCATAAAAACCTATTTATGCTGAAATTCTCTGGCCAGGACAGATCCTACACGTAATCCCGTCACACCCTGAGAACGAGCATGAGTCCAAACAAAACCATCATCCTTTAACACTTACTCTGCAAAACGGAACCAATCTGTACAGCCTTTGACGTGTTCCGACCTGCTCCTTTATGTTTACGTGTAGGAACAAAAAGACACCGTAAGTGCTGGTGTCACATTTACACCAGTCAAATAGCCCAGGTGAGATCCCGCTCCTTCCACGGAGCGATTCCATCACGCAGGACACGGATTTGCACCGCGTGGAGCATCCGCAACTGAGCCCGCATCCCTCCCTCCATCCGCCCCGGGACTGTGCCATTTACTGACACCGCTCCGTGCCCGTTCCCTGCCTCACCGAGACTTTCCATCACGATCCCCCATTGCTCCATCCCCGCCTTTCCCCACACACATCCCCCGCGCCCCAGAGCTTCGCCCACCGCAGCCGGGTTCCGCCCGCTCCCTCCCATCCCCGCGGGGCGGCTGCGGCGGGGCCGGGCCCTCTGGCACCTCCCTCCCTCCTCCGTGCCCGCATCCCTCCCTCCCTGTCCGCATCCCTCCCTCCGTGCGTGCCGCGGGATGCGCTGCCGGCCGGCCGGGCGGGCGCACACGGCGGGACCAGAGCCATGTCTCCGGTGAGCGGCACGGCCGGGCGGTGGGGCTCGGGGGAGCCGCTGCTCTCCCGTCCCCGGGGCTGGGTGATCTCCCCGGGGCTGGGTGATCTTCCCCGGGGCTGGGTGCTCTCCCCCGGCTGGGTGCTCCCCCCGGGGCTGGGTGCTCTCCCCACGGCAGAGCGGGGCGATGGGCGCGGTGCGGGCTCGGGGGGCGGCTCCTCCGCATCGCATCGCGTCCCGCCGCGTTGCGGGCAGCGCGGAGCCCCGGCCGGGCGCTGCGGGGCGGAGCCGCGCCGGGCGGGAGGAGCGGCGGTCGCGGCGGCTGCTGCCGCCCCCGCTATCTGACCCGACCTTCCCCCTCGCCGCCTCCTCCTCCTCCTCCTCCGCCCCCCGGCTCTCCTGCCCCCAGCGGCCCGGGAGGAACTGAACCATCGCCGCACAGGAAGTAGCGGCTGCGGGGAGCGGCGGCGGCAGCAGCGACAGCCGGGGCTGCCGCACTCAATGAGCGACGCTCCCGCAGCCGCCCGCCCCGCTCGCCCCTTCCCCGCCTCCCGAGGGCAGCGGCGCCCAGCCAGCCCGCCGCCGCCGGGGGTTGGAGGCTGAAGCGGGCAGAGGCAGCTCCGGCTCTTCCCGAGGAGGAGGAGGCGGCGGCGGGGACTGCAGGTTGGTGCCGCTCCGCCGGCGAGGGTAGCGGGATGCAGGGGGAGCGAGGCGGGCGGCGGAGCCTGGGGCAGCATCCCCGCCCGGCGCTGCCGCACGCCGGGGCTCGGCCGGGAGCCCCTTCGGAAAGGCCCCGGCGCGCCGCCCCCGCTGCGGCGGCTCGGGAGGAGCCGAGCGGGCCCGGCCCGGCTCGGTCCGGCGGTGCCGGTGCCGCCGGCGGGGGCTGCGCTTTGTGCGCCGGCGGGCGGCACCCGGGGCGGTGCGGGGAAGGGCACAATGGTCCCGGCTGGAACGCATCCTGCCCATCCCGGGGGAGATGGACGCCGTCTCGGGAGGCGCAGGCTGGCCGGGAGCAGGGCGGCTGGGATCCCCGCCGAGTGCGAGGGATGGATGGATGGATGGATGGATGGATGGATGGATGGATGGATGGATGGACGGAGCAAAAAGTGGGGGAGCGGTTGAAAACAAAAAGAAAGAAAGAAGGGAAGCCCGTTTCGGAAGAGCCGGGCTGTGCCTGGGTGCACGGCTTGCGAGTGCAAAATGGAGAAGAGCAAACCCTATTGATCTGAGAGAGGCAACCAAATGGGATGCTGTTGTGCCTGGATTCTGTTCAGAGGATGCTGATGGATAAATTAAGGTGTTAGCCTAACGTGTAGGCATCTAAATAAATAAGCACGCTGATTATCCCCTTAGAGCTTTTATACGCTGTATACTTAGTGCTTTTATACACTTAGGGCTTTCAACATTGTGTTGTGTTGAGATGGTTACCTGTTTAACGCCACACTTGTATGTTCTTCCCCTCCAACATTTTTTCCTCTTTTAGTCTTCATATTTCCTCATTGATTGGGCAGAGAGCCTCTGTGGTATGAGAAAGGAAAGTGTCAGAGTTTCCAAGAATCTTGCTGCTTATTCAAAGCAGCATAATATAATCTCATTAGCTCATCGTGTTATCTTACTCGTTAATTTCAAGGCCAAAATAAACTTGATGGCCTTTCCCCCCTCTCTTGCTCAGAGGGAAACAGGCTGGAGTCCAGGATGGCATGTTTGCTGTCAGGGAATTGCTGATGTGCCAAGCGTGTTTGGGAGCAGAGTGGTGAAGCTCTCCTCTTGACTTGGCACGGCTTCTCTTGTGATGACGCTCTTCACTTGAGGCTCTGCTGGAACCACAGGTCATTTAGGTGAAGTTCAGCATAATCTCAGATGTATGTGGGGTTTTTTTTTCAAGTTTGATTCTACAAGCAGTAGAACTTGTATGGTTTCCATTCATTTTCTTGCAAGACTGCAGCTGTGTAGGAGATGGAGAAGTTAAATGGAGTTGTAGTTGAGCACTGGGCTGTTACAGGACTCCTCGTGCTGCAAACAGTTCTGACCCTTGGATTTTAAATGTAAATGTTCTACTATTTCCTGTAACTTTCACAGGAGCCTTGGCTTTTGGTTCCCTTCTGTGTACCCCAGTCTTCTTTCCCTTTCACATGTATTGTTACTGAGCCTTCATGACTGAGATTATGCTCATTACTTTCACTATGGTTTTCAGCCTTTTCTAAGAGCAGCTTTATGTACTCTTAAGAAAGTCTCATTATCTCTTCCTTGCCTGATTCCCACCTTCACCTCTCCACCCTTATACACACAGTTAATTGGAGAAAGCAGGACAGAGAACAGTTGGTCTCCAAATATAGCTGGAATTCAACAAGCACAGGAAAAACACCTGACCAGATTGTCCCCGCTGAGCATGATAAAAATGGCAGGACCACTTATCAAAACTTTGTAGTGCAGTGTAACAATGCATTGCAGATAGCTCTGCTGAGAGTGCTCGAGTTGTGCCTGACAAGGGCTGAAATCAGAATGGTCTTTGGTTGAGGTAATGTTAGACAGAAAAAAAGAATGATATTTCCTCTTCCCCTTGTGGTTTCTTTTATCTCTGAAGAGGTGCATTAAGAAACCGGACAAAATTCCACTTACAATTACAGGGAGCTCTGCTAGCACAAAGTGTATGTTCTTTTCCCAGCCAGAGCTAGAGCTTTCTGCTTTGTGTTAATCTTCTTACAAACTGAAATTATTGCATAGTCTTGTGTGCTGGCTTCATTTTTTTTTTTCCTTTCTGCCTCTCCTAGCAGAAAGATGCATTGTTTTCAAATCCTAAATGGTGTTTTGTTTACTCACAAAACTGTTGCAAAATAATTGGATTTGATGCTTACATTTTGTGGGGAACCAGTGTGAATAAAGTATTGCTGTTAGCTGTAATGAGTTCACCTGCTCTAAATTTATGATAGCCATAAATTTTGGGATGCTGCTTCTACACTGCAAATTAAAAAAAAAAACGGTTGTGTTCAGTCTTGCTGCTTTGGCTTATGAGAACATAATTCTTAGTAAGAATGGCCAGGGTGCTGATGAAGAAACTTAATTATCATTTGCAGTGGTTAAAAATGTCCTGTTCTTTCACTGGGTTTTTTAGTGTTCATGGTCGGTTAGTGCATGTGTAGCTTGGTTATAATTGATTCCTGAACAAAGACCAGGTGTCTTGGCAATTGGTACCCGGAGTGCTGGGAGATAAAGAACAAAATAAATGACAAAACCCAAAGAGAACCTAGGACTTGATTGTATCTCACACTGTTCTACCTTCTGGTGCAAAGACATCAGTAATAACTACTCTCTGTCTACACTTGCGTTCCACATTAGGGCCAGGGAGCTTTTGCTTGTGGGTAGCTCTTAACAAGTAATTGATAACATTTTCTTATTACCAAAATGAAAAGGAAGGAAATAGAGAGGTATTTCAAGGCGTTATCCAAATTTCTTCTCTACCCGTGATATTAACCAAGATAAAATAAGAAAAAGGAGCACTAATCCCCAGGCCTGTGCTGCATGCTTGATGAAAATACTCTTAAATGTGTTGCATGAAAATCAGTTTGCCATCTGATGCAGGATCCTGGTAGGACTCCAGGCGTGAGTCAGCACCTAAGTTAGGGACTGATTATCACTAGGACAGGCACCTGTGGGAAAAATCAAGATAATCTAGGAAGTGTTTAATTTGCTGGTAATAAACCAACCTTGGTTTATTAATTGCAGAGGTCCAAATTTCAAATGGTTGAAAAGGAAGTGAACCCTTGCTTATGTATTTTTTTGATGCCTCCAAAGTCAGTTTATATTTATGATTTATCTGTAACATTTCCTTGTGCCTGTGAGTCTGGACATATTTAGGAGTATGCAAGACATGACAGTGATGAGAAGACGAACACTTAGACGTGTGACACACAAGTCATAGCAAAGATGAAATAAATATTTGTCTTTTTTGTAAAGACCAATCTTTGGATCCAGTCCTTTGCAGCAGCTCTGCCTTCTGCTGTGCATGTATTTGCAGCTGTCTGACCAGCATAACTGTGCTGGATGGGACATTTGTCTTGGGAAGCAGGAGATTTGGGTTTTGTTCTTGTCCAAACGAGTATTCAGTGTTACAAGAAAGAACTGAGAGCCTATGGGGCTGTTTTTTGCAGGTAAACCCAAGTAAAACCCAAATAGTTTTAGGAGTTCAGTGCATTGACCAAGGAATGCTGCGTGGCAATTATGATGAAGCTTTCTGGGCCTTTTTTCTGGAAGGTATTGAAATAATTCACAGCTCAGGGTACCTGAGGATACTGATGGGCAGAGGAGACAATCAGAGTGACCTTTCTGTTTCGTGCCTGTTTTGTGATGGGGTCAGTGTTGTCTTGCCCGTTGAACTTCCCAAAGTTGTTGATCGTTATGAGACAAACCTGGGGAAAGCAGGACTTGATAGTACATCTCCTCGCTTGTGGTAAAACAGTTGCTCCTATTGCTTTTTTTGGCCTCTTTTTTTATTTTTTTTTTTCTTTCCCCCCAATCTTTGTGGCTGTTCTACTTTAGGGACAGCAAGCATGTAATTTTGGGCTTGTTCCTCTCCTGGGAATTGGGGAACTTGGGACCTAGTCTGTGTGAGGCTTTCTACTGCAATGCTGCATTTTCTGTGCACCCATGGGTGTCAGTTCCTCTGTAGAGAGCCGGCATGAAATAAAGACAACAAGATTTCTGTTCCCTCTTGGATAGGGAATGAAGGCTGGTGTGCTGAGTAGCCTTAATACTGTCATTTCTCTTGCAGCAGTATCAATAATGTGGTGTTTGCTTTCCAAACAAAAAGATGTGGTTTGTCTCCCAAAGAGTTGAAAGATCATTTGAAGCCTGGTGTAGTGGAAATCCGTGGTTTTCTCTGCCGAAACGGGCTGTGCCCTGGGTTGCAACCTTGTTGCCTAATTGTGGGATAACTGCTGGAGTTTCAGACTACTCAGGAAAAAAAAAAAAACCAAAAAAAACAAAACACCAAGCTTATCCTTGAAGTAGATGTTGATTTCCCTGTATTTTATGAGAAAGAAAAGGCGTATAGATTGCTTATACATTTGGACTGAAATGGTGAAAGTTTTCCATACCAGTGAGGTGGATCCAAGTTTGTTGCAGAATGTTTAGAATCCAACAGCTCCTGTGCATTCAGGGGGAAAAAAAAAACCTATTTAAACTGCTACAATGTTCTGTATCAATGCTAAGAGCTACTTAATGGTCAGGGGTAAGCCGTGTGACATTGGACTCTGTGTGTAGCAGCTCTTCTCCATGCAGACTTTCTCATTTGCTGTAAATGAAATGAGATTTCAGTGACATTTTTAGTTCTTTTTCTTCTCCTCTTGTTGTTCTTGTGTGTTAGCATTGCTTAGGTAATTATAGTGTGCTCACTAGAAGCCCTGACAGCCTAAACTGAGTTCTTTGTAAAAAACACGGCGTTTCCCTTAATTAACAGAGACTAGAAACAGCACCTGAATCTATTAATTAAATAGTCAAAGTTGATCTCTATTTAGGATATATTAACAAGCAAAACAAAATACATTTCTGACTAAAATGTTGCCCAGAGTAATTGAGCTCCTGTGAGGTGCTTATTTTTTTGGTGAAGAAAAATAATCTGTTGGTGCTGCAACTGTCACACAGGCACAGTCATGCAAAATTCATGT